CACTTCAGCACTGCGCCTCCTCTGAGTCTGGGAATGATATTCTCTTTCCTCCTAGTTGTAGAATTTCCACTCAGCCAGCCTTCCTGTGGTTCTGGATGATGTCCGTTCCGTCTTTTAGGTGTAATTTGAATTGGTTGTTCGAGGCAGCAATCTCCAGCGTTAACCTATGCCGCCATCTTGGTTTCCAGAAGTTCTTCATTTTAATGTAAAAAATAATGCAGTAGAATTTGCCAATCTTTTGTGCTAATGTTACTGGAAAGGGGACCAGGCCCTGAACTGGTCTAGAGCCTAGGGACAGCTGGTAGTGTGTGGGTTCTTGATTTTGTGCAGGAAAAATTTCACAACAGGAGTCCAGGTGAATTTTAGAGGACTTTTATTAAAGCTGCAGACAGGGAAATAAGAACGGGCTGGGGAAATCAGCTTAGGCGAATCTTCTTGGCCCACTAAGAAGCCAGAGAAAAGGGGTCCCTTGGGGACAGGGTCAGGGGGGTTAGTGGCTGCTACCCATTGATGCCCTGGCTGCAAGCCTCATGGAGTCCCTTAGAATTTAGGAGATGCCTGCCTGTGGGGAAAGAAGAGGGGGGAAGGTTCAGGGGTGGAGGTGGGGGAGGCACAGGCACAGGTGTGCTGCTGGGAGGGAGAGCATGCACTGGACCTTCTGACCTTCCTTTTGAGGGCTTTGAAAGGCTGGGTGTTTAGGGGAAGTCTTAGGGAGGATGTCAATAGAATATTCATCAGCTTTATGCTGATGTACCAAAATGAGATTTATTCTCTTAACTTCATCTGTCCTTGGGTGTGGTTAGCAAATGGCACTAATTGGATTTCTGCTATCCGTCTCCCTGAGCAGGATGATTTAAGCTATTTAAAGTGCAAATCATATACTCTTAAGTGTCCCTGGTTTAGGGAAGATAGGATTTACTAGATGGTCACAAAATGCTATTTAACTAGTTTCCCTATTCTGCTTCTCTTGGCTTACTGGCCTGTCTCACTACGTTTTGTGTGTGTGTGTGTGTGTGTGTGTGTGTGTGTGTGTGTGTGTGTAGAAATCTTTCCTTATACTGTGATCATGAAAATACTTTTCTGAATTATATTTCAGAGTTTAATTTTATCTACATTATTTATATCTAAAATCCCCTGGTACTGGTTTATTTGAAAAAATAGAGAACACTTCCGCATGTGTAAATGCTCCTTGAAACTGTCCAATAGTATGGAAGGAATCGAAGAAACAGAAAAGGAATGATTGGAAAAAGGGCCCCTGAGAAGGGGTGGAGGATGGGACCCAAAGCACAAATGGAGGGTTTGCTTTCGACAGCAGGAAAGACAACTATTTGTAATAGGATGGAAGGTGAAGAGGCTGCCACAGATGCAAATCGGTCTTTGGCAACAGGAAGTTTGTAGTTTCCCTGTGCAGTATGAGACAGATTATTGGAGTGGGGAGAGAGTGGGCAGAGTCAGGACTGGGACAAAGTTTAAGAAAGTCATTGAAGAAATTATAAATTAAGTTCTAGAAACAATAAATTTGTTGTGCAGTTCTGAGCATCCAGTTGAAGCTTGTGGAGGTAATTTAATTTATAGTGTACCAATTCTTTCTCACAATGATGTTTCTATGTCAGCATATGGCTGCCAAAGAACATACTAGGATAGTGGGTAGTTGGGTTCATCTAGGAATAGGGTTTTGCTATTTGGATGCTATGCAACGATCCCACAAAGAAGGATAAGAGAATGTAGATTATTGACAGAAATTACTGAGATGGTTGATAAAAAACTAAGATGGGAGGAGTATCTAAGATGAGGCTAAAGGGAGGAGGCCGGGGTGTCAGTGAACTGAATAGCCCACAACCCTGCCATGTGTTTTGACTGGTGATCGAACTGGCAACCTGTTGGTTCTTGGGTCATTGCTCAACTGCTCAGCTGCACCGGCTGGGATGTTCACTTCCTTTAATGAGGTCTTCCAAATACTTCTGCACTTATTTTTTATTGTGAGACAATTGTAGTACTAATGGCATTAAAGAAATATGTTGCTATCTTAACTGATGTTGTGTCTTTTTAATTCCTGTTATTTAATTCTAATGTAGATACATCAAGAAATCTGGAATTTCATGAAATACACAGCACTGGGAATGAGCCGCCTTTGCTGATTATGATTGGCTACAGTGATGGAATACAGGTCTGGAGCATCCCTGTAAGTATGAAGATGGTTGATTTCCTAAAATACAATACTTTTGCAGGATGCTATCTGATGGGAAATCTGGTGATACTATCAGAAAGGTCTCATTCATTTGTTTCATAGTAGTTGCTTAAGATACAGTTAGGCGTGCAACACCATGCAAAGTACAATGAATAAGGGCCAGAGATGATGTAAATGATTTTGAAAAGTGGACTAGGAATTGTGGGAATCACTTTACATGCAAGATCTCAATTTTGTCATGGTAACTCTACTAAGTAGGTATTATTTTTTCCTCCCATTTTATAAATGATTAAACAGACTTACAAAGGACTTGTTTTAAAAATTAGCAATCACTTAAGAAAAATCAGTGTTTTAGAATTAGTTTAAACATTCACTTCATCCCCACTCCCACTCTTATTCCCATTTCCCCTACCTTGAGGCAGCCAGATTTTCTAGTTTCTTATGTATCCGTATAGCTATATTTTATGCAAAAAATATATAAATATATTTTTCCCACGCTGCCCTTTCCTAACAGATAGGAGCATATTACTTTGTACCTTGAGGTTTTTTTCCTCATCAGGTCAGTGTTCTGAGAGATGCTTCGTTGAGTTTTTTTAAAAATATATTTTATTCATTTTTTACAGAGAGAAAGGGAGATAGTTAGAAACATCGATGAGAGAGAAACATCAATCAGCTGCCTCCTGCACATCTCCCACTGGGAATGTGTCCGCAACCCAGGTACATGCCCTTGACCGGAATCGAACCTGGGACCCTTCAGTCTGAAGGCCAACACTCTATCCACTGAGCCAAACCAGTTTCGGCTTCATTGAGTTTTATAGCTGCATATAAGCTACCTGGGTTTCCTTAATTTATGTAACTTGTTCCCTATTACTGAAAAACATAAATGTCCCTTTTTAAAATTAGAAACAATAATGTAATACATGACCTTGAACAAAACTTATTTTATATGTGTGTATCTGCATAGAGTGAGTTCTGATTTTGATAAATGTTTAAATTGCCTAATAGGTCCCAGTTTGCCTCTTAAACCCTACATATTCCACTTTGGAATGACCCAAAATAAAATGTCCTAAAAGAGGAAAAGGCTTGGTAGGATCACAGCTCAGTGAAGTGTAGTCGGGATTGCATACTGCAGCTTATACTTATTTACATTCTGGTTTATGGCATGACCTAAATACCGCATCTCCTCACTAGATGGGGGCAGATAGGGGACTTCTATTGTGTGGTTCTTTTGCAGTTGGAGGCTTGGGGCCAATAGAATATTAATTTGTACCTTTAATAAATATATTCACCAAACTCATTAGAAGCCCCTTGTGTGTGTGTGTGTGTGTCTCAGCTAGAATTCCCCTGCCTTTTTTGGTGTTCTTTTGGGTAATATGGTTACTACTTAAAATATTTATAAATAAACATATATTGCTGCAAATTTAATAGGAATCAGGATATTCTTGAGTGCAGGATTTTGATGTCAGTAGTGTAAGAATGAAGTAACCAGCATATTGGACTTCATTATTTTTTTTAACATTTTAAGTAAAATGTATTTGTTCTTCAATAGATCACTTATGATGAACTTTGGTCTTCCATTTGATCATATAATTATGTATCATATTGTTAGGTATTTAGGACTTGGGGTTTTGTATTTCTTGTTTTTGAAGATTGGCTTTATTTTGCAGAGGTAGAAGATTCCTGTTGGTATGGCATGGACTTAGTGTCCTCTTTCTTTAGCCTTTTGGGATGTGTAGCTGACATTTTTCAAGTTCCTGTAACATGGTCTGTAATTTAAGTACCATGCCAAAGGCATGGATAAAGGCCTTAAAATCTGGCATTGGTTTTTACAGGTTTTTTCTTTCTACCCAGGGTACTATTTCTATGTCGTGATCAGAGGAAAGGGTTTTGTAAATGCAACTCTTATTAATAGAGACTACCTTTTCATCTGTTACACAGTTTGTTGACAGACTTAAAGGCAAAGAGGAAGCTCAAGTTTTAACAAGAAGGTAGAGCCTTGTGTGGTTAGGAGTGTTGACTGGATTGAGCACATTCCTTTGGTGGTACTCAGGCTACCAACTTGTTTTGGTTATAATTAGAGGTATCACTTTTAATAGTCACAAAGGTAACTCGTGTTTAGCTCTGAATAACTTAAGGTCTTCTGAGTAATTTAAATTACTTCTTTAAAGTAGTTTTTATGTCCAGTTTCAAATTTTTATTTTTATTTTTTTAAATATATTTTATTGATTTTTTACAGAGAGGAAGGGAGAGAGATAGTCAGAAACATCAATGAGAGAGAAACATCGATCAGCTGCCTCCTGTACATCTCCTACTGGGGATGTCCCCGCAACCCAGGTACATGCCCTTGACCGGAATTGAACCTGGGACCTTTCAGTCCGCAAGCCGACTCTCTATCCACTGAGCCAAACCGGTTTTGGCAAGTTTCAAATTTTTATTGACTAGTTTTTCTTTTTTTTTTGACTAGTTGTTTACTATTGCAGTAGTATAGCCCTGTGAGAACTGTTTCAAAAATTAGGAAGCAGTCCAGGTAATAAGCTCCTTCTGATGCATCGATTGAGCTCTAACTGTGTTCAAAGAGCTTTATATATACACTATCTCATATACTGTACCCTGTGAGGTAGAAGTTACCCTGTTTTACAGGTGGCAAGGTCACATAACTTGTAAGAGGCAGAGTTGGAATTCAAACTCATTTCTGTCTGACTTCAAATTCAGAGTCCATGGTCTAAGAGCTATACTTCATTACTTCCAACATGTGATTGCAGAAGATATACCATGCACACAGTTTGGCAGTTTTAGTTTTCATTGTAAAAGGTTATGATATAGCTTCAAATATTTATCTTTTATAGACTACTGTGACTGTTATGCATTACTCTAACTAAACCCTTCTGAAACTTGTTTATCACTAGTCAGTTATTCAGTAATTATTTAAGTATTCCCATATGCTAGACAGTGGGGAGCTAATGTTGGCCAAGCTAGAAATAATCCTGGCTCTTAGGGATCTTTGCAGACCATAAATCGTATTTGCCTTTTTAAAATTTTTATTGAATTTATTGGGGTGACATTGGTTAATAAAATTATATAGGTTTCAGGTGTACAATTCTATAATACATCATCTGTTTATTGTGTTGTATGTTTAGCAGCCCCAGTCAAGTCTTCCATCACCATTTATCCCCCCTTTACCCTCTTCTACGTCCCCCACCCTTTTTCCCCTCTGGTAATCACCATACTGTTGTCTGTGTCTAAGAAGGTTTTTTTTTTTCTTTCTTTAATCCCTTCACCTTTTTCATCCAGCCCCCTGTATTATTGATTTATATACCTGTTTTCATGCAAGTACCATTCTTTTTGATGACTTCTTTTTGATGACTGTAGCCTTGTAGTATATTTGTTATCAGGTAGGGTGATTCCTCCAGCTTTTGAGTAAGTATAGGTAAGCGGAACGTCAATCCTGGTCCAAACTAAGCACAGTTTTGCCTCAGTTTTGTGCACGGTTCTCTCTTCTGTAGATTTTATATAACTCTTCCACCCGCGAGTCTTAGATTAAGAAAATAAACATATCTTGGTTAAATATTTTTTAAAAATTGATTTTTGAGATGAAGGGAGAGGGAGAGAGAGAAACATCAATAAAGAGAGTCATTGATTGGGCGCCTCCTGTTTGCCCCACAGTGGGAATCAAGCCCACAATCCGGGCATGTGCCCTGACTGGGAATCGAACCTCGACCTCCTGATTCAGAGGTTGGCGCTCAACCACTGAGCCATACTGGCCCGGGTGGTTAAACATTTTTTAAGATTGTCTATATAAGAAGTGCGCAAATATGAACGAAGCTTAGATGATGTTCAGGAATATAATAGAGTTAGCTCAGAAGCAGAACTATGCAGAAGTAATTTTTCTACTTCCCAATTCCACACTTTGTAGATGAGATGGCTGCAGGAAACCACCAGTTCTCTTAGCTTTCCCAAGCTGTCAGGCCCCTACTTTCAACATATCTGATTATTTCTTATGCTGATGTTCTTGGATAAACAGGCCCTATTCACATCTATGTCTAACAATTGCTTCTTTTGGTAATGTAATAGAGACTCTTTTTAAAATCCTTAATTAAAAAAAATAAAGTTATACATGTACCTGGACTAAAAACCAAATACTTTTATGGGATTCATATGAAAAGAACAGCATTTCTGTATTCTTCCTTTCTTACCAACTTCATTTCTATTATTGTTGTTATCTTAGTATGTATTTCAGATATTTGGAAGTAACATACTTATATTTTTTATTTTTTTCCTCCTAGTTTTACACATAGATTGACTTGGTGCTATGAACTATGAGGACTTAATTGGTGTTCATTTATTCAACACAGATCTGGGATAAAATGTGTATTTTGAGCAAAATAGACACAGTCTTTAGTCTGATACAGCTAGTATGAAAGAAGGATTTAAATAAAAATATATACAACTTAAATTTTAATGTGAAGAAATAATAAAATATTATAATAACTAAGCAGTACAAAAGTTAAGATTTAGCCAGGGTAGGAGGGAACAGCAAATAGTAAAGTCAGAGGCTTTGAGGTGAAGTGTTCCTTTCTCTGTAGTTGGACGCTGATTTAGATTTTTAGTTGTTGTCATCTCCTCCTTCCCCTCCTCCACCTCCTCCTCCTTTTTTTTTTCTTTTTCTTTTTTTTTCTCCTTCTTCATCATCATCATCACCGAAGTCTTTTTTATTTTTTCCCACTTATCATGCCATGAATTCATAGGGAGTGGGTTCCAGCAGCTCAGGCTCCTTTCCATTGGTTCTCACAAAGCATGCTTCTCTGGGTGGAGCAGGCTGATGCTTCAGTTGACCCCAGGTACCTTTCTCTTTGGCTTCCTTCTTTTTCTGATAATTTTCCTTCACACGTTTCAGGAAGCTATCTCTGCTCTTAGAGAGCTTAATATGCTTAATACGCACATTTAATTCTCTTGGCAAGAATCTTGCCCTTAACTATCTTGTTCACAACAATGCC